TCGAAGAAGGCCCGACTACGTCAAATAGAAGCAAGCACGGGAGAGCACAAAAGTACAGCCCACAGAATCTCGAAAGAACGAGCTCCATCTATACCACGAACAGTGAGTACAATCTTTACAACCCCAGGATTAAAAAAAGGTTTGCTCAAAACCAATCGAAGACTTAGCTGTGCTCCGGGACAGAATAACGGAAGCAGCTGAATATGTTAACCGAAGATTCGACCGTCGGATAGCCCGATCATTTTTGAGAAGATGTCACAGGGTGTAGTTTTTTCTGATCAGTTTTAAACCCTATGATCGAAAAAGTATGCGAGTTAGATTTTCTATATTTTCCTGATAACTATTATGACTTGGGCTATCCCCCGTTTCCGGCTTGACGTCCACTTCTGGGACACCCTGTATATAGATGATTCCATTTGTCCAGAATTGCGTGAGAAATACAGAGTCAATCTATTCGACGCCATTTTTTTCTGAGCCATAGTCAGTCTCTGCAAAGGAGGTGATCCAGATGAATAGGTCCCTTAAGGTTGTTGTGAAGAGGTACCAACACTGGCACATCCTGACCGATACTTCGGAGATACGGAAAGACTAATACGCCTTCTGACAGTATGCTCGAAAAAGGAAATTTTCGTCAACCATCATAGGTGTCCAACGTGCTACCCAGCAGAGGCGTACTATGCAAATGTTGCAAATACGGACTGAATAGAATATGTTTGCTTTCTGTGTCTTTGACCATGACCAGCCGAATACAGTACCAAAAAGCAAACAAAACGAATATGGTACCACAAGCAGATGTACCGTACCCTCCGTCTGCCAACGGGTAGCTGTGACGAATAAATGGGCGACGACCTTTAGTCGCCTGGTGAAAAAGCGGTTTGACCACTGAGTGACTCTACTATTAGTTATTGTATATACCTCGTGACAGCCCGAAAAGCTAAGGTAAGTGATTTGTTTGGTGCAAATAGAGGAGAGTGTCACAACTTCCGGTCGAGACGACATAGCATGCTTTATTTGAGTTGATTTGCTGTTTTGGAAGGTGTTGAAAGATTTATACAAAGCCAGTATTATGTTATTATGGGACCTACAGGCACATGCAGAATATGCTTTTAAAGTTAACCTTTGATCAATACTATGCTGTTATTTAAGACATTTAAGACCATTGCACTCCTATTGGAAATGAAGGGTCACTCCCAATCTAAAAATAATGTCGCATCTCATGTGGAAACGGACTCCTTTGTATTCCGTTCATCGAAGTCATGCTGAAAGAGGACTCACACAGAACATTCAGTAACATACCATATGGAGCCCCACATGCGGCAGTAGGAAACAAAAGTTTCCCGGCATCTCTGATTGACATGTTCGTTTCTAAGGAACTAAGAGGCTTGAATGCTGAATCTTAGTTGAGTATACTTTCTTGAGTACTTAATATATTGTAGAATGTTTTGTGGTTGACAGTATTTTAAAAGAAACGTTGAGACATCGTCAATCTATAATTTAAAAGCTTTCAGAACGGAAAGTTTATTGGATACGCCCATGTCTAAAATCGTGCTTCCAAACTTTGCTACACGTAATGCATACCAAAAGATAATTGAATATAGAATCAGTATAATTAGAATAAATCCAAATATTTGAGTAAGTTTATTCAATTTTCCTTAACGGACCGCTTCACCCTGCTGTTCAATTCTGCGGGAAACGACAGCATGTCTGTCCGCTTCATTATAAACAATCCAAACAAATACTAATTAATATTAAATGGGCCCAAAAAGCAATTTAATATACAAAAGAATAACAATATATACACATTATGTAAATCAGATGCAGCCATGGCTCGCTCGCATCAGACTGGCGTGGTTTGAAAGCCTACAGGGTCGGTTTAAAGCTAACAAGCCAAGTTCAGCGGAATCAGTAGAATTTGAGAATTACGTCACGATATTACATTAAATAAGCCGACAAGGACTCTTGATAACGTGACATGTCTATCTGGTATTAAAAATGAATGAATACTAGGTAAAATGAGCACAAGTACAATTTGTTTGCCTACAAAAACTCATTCTCTAGTCAAGATGAAAGTATATACCACAAATGGACTTGACATAAGTTATTTTTTTTAGTTATTCTTTAAAAGTGCGAGTATTTGCAGATAAATATTGTGGTGTTAGACAATTTCAGGATATGGTACTTCTTGCATAATTTCAAAAGAGCGACACAAGCCTGATGAAAGTAGATCGCTCCACCGGTAAATATAATTATTATTATTATGTTGACAACGTTGCCACTTTGGTAAGCATTGGTGGCCAAAAAGGTCAAAGGTTAATGCTGATAAAGCTACCCGATGCTTATTTTTTTTCTAGTATTTAGAGGGTTGGGATTCAGTTTCTCAAATAGTTCCCACTTATATAGCTTTACTGATTACCTCCTCACTCACACGTATTAGGCAGAGTCCAAGTCATTAATGAACTTTATAATCCTTGCATTTGTCATTGTAAGTCAGTTGCTCAGATACCAAACAAAGTCAGTGAGAAAGAATGGAAGCAGAAAGAAAAGAAGGAAGGAGGGAGAGCAAAGAGAAAGAAGTGCGTCAATTTGAGGGGTGCCTTGGCATTGCTGACTAGTATTCGAGAATTTTAAATTGATTCTAAAATTAATTTACATCAGCATAGAGACAGATTTCACAGTTGTTGGGCCAAGGGACGTCATGAATAAAAAGTGAATGAAGGATTGGTCCAAGAACCGAACACCTTTGATGGGCTGTGTTGTCGACAGAACATTGCTAATTTTGATCTGAAATTTCCTACCCTCACGTGAGGATTTCAAAAGTTTTGGGAGCCAGAATGGGAAGCCCTTTTGGTTTTATTTGTACAGGAGGCCCTTGTGCCACCCTTGTTAAATGCCTTGGAGATATCCAGTAGCAAGATGTCAGTACTTTTGCTACGGGTGAATCCTGGTTACTCGTTGAACAAGCCTAACCGCCGGTAACTCCATACAATGCTCAGACCGAAAGTCAAATTACACGTCAGGAATCACATTCTGGTCTTATGGGGAATGTTCAAGGGACGTATAATCAATCACCTTTTCAGCGAGCTTAGAAGGAGCTGACAGTAAACTAATGGGACGGTCGTTCTGGGGGAATATCGAACCCACCTGCTCTTCTTTGGAAACATTATAACATTAGCGTCCTTCCACGACGCTGGGAAGTACTAGGTCCTTAGCATGGCATTGATTATTGGCACGAGATAAGTTAAGGACTTCCGCGAAAGCAGCTGCATCACCTTATTAGCGATTCGATCCTCTCCAGATGCTTTACGTACCTTGAGGTCTTTAATATGACCTTGAAGATCTGCTGCTGTGCTCGGGAGATTCCGCTTATGTGTCATACTTTATAATCCTCTGAATTAGGTCAATACCTTTCCTCTTCATTTGCCAAGTAGATACTCCGTCATCTATGACTCGACTTTGGCGGGGTATCGCATTATCTTCCATTTATCCGTAGTTCCAACTCTCCGTAGTGATTTCCACAATGTCTGAGGGTCGTGATCACAAATACGGTTGGTGAAGTCTGTCCAGAGGCCTCTGTCTTAAGCGAGTTTCATTGCTAAATTTAGCCCCACCATCTCACTGTAGATCTTCTACTTCTTCTTCCCTATACGATCAACCTCTCCAAGTTATCGTTTTATCTTCTAGCTAAATTCCGGAAGAATTCGTCAATAATAGGTGGATTCATTTTGTGCGCTGTCTATAGAATATGAAGCATCATCCTCTAGCATCACAGTACGAACGCATCTATCTTGTTTCTTTCAGTTTTTTGGAGTACCCAGGCTTCTGCACCGTACAGAAATACGAAAAAATCATGTTTCGCACTGCCTTGATCTTAGTCGGGTTAGTAACTACCGGTTCTACATATCCCAGTTAATCTTCCCATGGAATTACTGATGATAAATCCCAGATAGATGGATTTATTTACAACCTCCAAGGAATTAAATGCGCCAGTGAAATGAGGCACAGTAAATCTATCTACTCCTATGATTTTAGTTTTTGCTCTATTCATCTCCTTTGGCTGAGCTATCAGTCTCCAATGGCCAGTCAGATATCCCACCGCTTCTCGTTACTCTACTTGTGGAGTTCTGGCTGTAGCTCGATAGCGCATTAAAGCCACTCGATAACCTGGTCCTACATCGATGATCATCTTATTCCTCCGCAAATCCTTTCGCAACCAATCATCTTTTCTCTATGGATTGGCTCTTTACTTCTACCCCAGCTTCTCCAAACTATATTGGGGAAGGCATTGCTATTTTTGACTGGCGAATTAGCTTGCATAACATCAGCCACACATGGCATTGCAGTGTTACTGGCAAACACGTTGAATTCCGCAGACGATAACTTCATCAGTATAAGGGAGATCAGTGGAAGTGAGAACCATATCTGACCGGTTATATAGGCGGTGATATGCATAAAGGCGAGTGGCTACTTTTGACTCGCATTTTTAAAGTAGCCACTCCATTTGATATGCATAAAAATGTAAGTAGAAGCTCACACTCATAAGTTTCTACTCTTTCCGTGAGGCTGTACTCGCTCCTTGAGTGCCGACTTTAATTTTTATATGCATAAAAGCGAGCGTTCACTCCGACCGCTGAGTACATACTTAAAGAAATGCGAGATACCTTAGTAGTAGACTCAGCTTTATAAGAAGTGGATTTCTTCACGAAATGGCCGAATTTATGCCTATTTATCAGCCTATGAAGGTGTTTAAAGATCGTAGGGAATCAAGGGAAGTAGACTATCGGGCCTTATATCGGTTTAGTAAAGTTAAAATAAGTAAGTTAAATAAGTAACCATTTTCTTGGAGAGACAGAAGAACATAGGGGCGGTGCTTTGAGCAATATAGAAAGAATGAGGGTTTTTTACGATATGTGGGTGATCCAGGATTTCAAATTGGCATATGAGAAGATATTGGTGTCCATCAATCTACGGTATCCCGAACCGTTACCAACGTTATAACACGCATGGTGCAGAAGTCGGATATTTGGATTAGATTCCCAATCTCATGTGAAGATCTACACAATGCTAAAAATAACTGGCAAGAAAAGTTCAATTTTCCTTCAGCTATTGGTGCTATCGACTGCACCCATATACCTATTCTGAAGCCGTTTATACATGCAGACGAATATGTGAACAGAAAGAAATTTGCTAGTATAAATGTACAAGCAACGTGCAATTTAAACGAAGAGTTCACAAGTGTGGATGTTTCTTGGCCAGGATCTGTACACGACTCTCGGATATGGAAGAATTCTGATATATACAACGTTATGAAATGGAATAGGGCTAGTGCTGTTTTGTTGGGAGACGCTGGGTATTGTATAGCTCCTTGGCTCATGACTCCTTTTATGATTTTAGAAACAGTAGAACATAGATCATACAATCGGCTGTTTACGAGAGAGCGAGCTATAATAGAGAGATGTTTCGTTCAACTAAAAGAGCGTTTTCCCATTCTACATAACAAAATACGCGTCGATACAGAAAAAGTGCTCTCCCTTGTCATGAGTTGTTTTATCTTGCATAATGTGGCTAAGCACCTTAATGATGAAGATTTTGCTGTTGATATACCGGGAGATGGCGAACAAGAAGAAATCCATAATGGAGTGATACGTCAGAGAGGTCAATTTAGAAGAGATGCAATGTCAAGAATTATTCATGGCTTTCGGGTCTAAGTAAGTATCTAGCATGATCCAAATTTAAAAATTATGTAGATATACGTTGAAGAACGATGTTTAATTACTCATGACAAAATTAATAACATTTTCAAAATGGTAAGTTAAGAGAAAGTCCTTAAAATTAATAAAAAATAACAGTTATGAAACATGAAGTATTTCTGTCAGTTCTGTCCTGGAAATAGGCTCAAGAAAATTGGATTTCCAGTTTCTGCACTTTCATTTAAAGTTGATAAATTTGGATCAGATTCATTAATATTTTTCTTGTGAAGTAGCAGTTCCTTAGCTAGCCGAAACACTTGTAGTTGTTCAAGTAAAACGAGACGTTGGAGCTCTGTTATTGATAAATCTCGTGTTTCATCGGTTTCCACTAATCCTCGTTTTCCTATTTTTTAGAAGGCTCCTTACTGGGTCCGGCTTTCATTGTGGTAGCTTTCAGTACTTGTCCTGCACTTCCAGATGCTTCTTCGGTGATTGTTTCTTCTTCAGCACAGGAGTGTAATCAACGCTTTTTTTGTGGGCAACCTGCCACAACGGCACCTAAAATTTAAAATATATGCTATTTATATTTATTGACATGTATATATATTATACTCAATCACATCTTATACCTACTGTATGGAAAAACAAAAAAATACAACTAACATTGCAATCGAGCAATACTAGGATTTGATTCTCCTTGTAGAAAATTGAACAGTTCTTGTTCCCATCCTTTCAATTTTATTGGTTTGTTTCCGGTATGATTTCTGTCTGTCTTCGCTTTTAATCTGGTTTTTATGTTTTGAATCTTCTTCCAAATCTGCCCTCCATTATATTTAACTCCTAATTCGGCTTCTACCTTTTCTTTTATTTCTTCAACCGCCTTTCGTCGTTTATTTTTGATTTCCGGGATGTTAGATTTTTCCAACAAAACAGGATACTGTTTAATTATATTAACAAATACTGTTTGATTTTCAGATGAATGGTCTTCAGTTGACATCATGTAAATGAACAAATAATAATCGATCTAAACACCACCGACACAAACGTTTACCGGTATACAGTAGTAGCTGCTCGCAATAGAGAAATTGCCAATTCGACGAGACAACAAAATACAAGTCGGAACTCGAAAACCAGAGTGCCTACTCAAGTATTTCATTAGAACTTGAGTAGCTTCTTCGTTTCTCGATAAATATTTTATGCATATCAAAACCGAGTAGGCTCTCCCTAACAGGAGGAGTTACAGGCTACAATATGGAGTCGCTACTTCTGAGAACCCACTCACCTTTAAGCATATCACCCAGGATGGCGTTGCCATGGGTTGGACATGTAGCTTGGAAAGACGATAACTCCGCAGAGAAACAGCTCTGTGGTAGTACACCCAGCGAGAGAACACCACTTGGAAGAACAAAGGAGAGGTGATTTAGAGAGAGAGAGAGAGAAAGATTCAGAAGAAATGCAGTGTCGAACTGAAAGGTAGTGGCGCAGAACCTAAGGGAATGTCGAGGCATAGTCGAGTAAGCTAAAATATTGCCTACGAGTGTCTTGCTGGGTTACAAAAAATAGTTACTTGTGGAATTTAGTAATGATAGAAGACAAGTAAGATCAACTATCAATCCAGAGATAATATCGCAGCTGACCTCAATGCCCATGCGTGAATCTATGCTAAAATCGGTGCTTTGAGCTCCATTGTACCTTGTCAATTAAAACCACTACAACTGTATTGGAATATTACATTCGATACACTTTTAAGCAGCGTGGGATGACACCACGTATTCTGTGCCCCTATGGGGAAAGAAAACCGTGCATGTTTTGCTCTGCCAAGCATCTGATCATTTTCATTAGCCTTTTTGACTCGTTAGTATGAGGGAGAGCTTTCCGGGTCTTGTATTTTACAACTATGCATAGTCCGTCACAGGACATGGTTGTATTGACAGCTACCTGCAGAGGGTAGGAAAGAAGGTGTACGCCAACTGCGTATATTGCAATAACGAGGAGGATACTCGAGTGTGGTAGATGGATTGACTACCAGAGGCTGTTGGAGTTCACGCTCAGCAAGTCGCTCACTGCTGACAATTTTGCAACGCACGTAAGCGTGGAAAAATTGGATGACATTCAATGAATAGTTAGGCAAATGATACCTAGCAAGGAATATGACACCATGAAGAAACGCTACAAGCATTACTGTGGTCGTATGTGTGCCGAATTACTAAGGGGTTTCGTGTTTATGCCGATTCTCGAGAATCTCACACTTGGGGCACGAAATGCCGACGGGGCAATGCTGTAGAGCTTCTTTGCCTAGACTGAATATAAAATTGAAGAATGGTAGTTCAAAAGCGTCTAAGTGCCACATTTAGGTATTTTCGAATTTCGGTGATTTTAATGTCTATGTACCATTGCTAATAGTATACCAAACGGTCTATGTGCCAGTCAAGAATCTGCAGTTCTATATACGTATTTCAAATTCGCCTGCAGTCTATCTATCTATACCTGATATGTCTTTCTTTAATTTCTCAACAAAACCTTTTTGGCACTTAGACGCTTTTAAATTACCAGTCTTCAATTTGTCTCTGTCGTACAACTATAGTTTGGGGAGGCAGTATCGTGGAGGGAACCCTTGAGGAGCACACATAAATGCTCTCGTCTTTTCATTAGTTGTATTTGTTTTAAATAAGACATTTTCTTCGACATTTTTTCCTGAATGTTCATGCTTATTTGTGCAGGGTGTTAAACAATGTCATAATTTGAGCCGGCCCTGATGGATTTTATGCTAACTACGCTTGCAATAAATTTTACAATTTGAATTTAGTATATTGGTACTGATAAAATTTTGACGTGTAGCAATAATTTCAAATGAGGATGACACAGTGTTTAGTGAAATACTGCCGCCGCAGTCAACCCACCGAATTGCCAAATGCTAAAGACCATTGCCACAACAAATCATCACAGATCTATTTTATGTGACGCATTTTGAAATATTTCTTTATTTACTTAGGGTAACTGGTAGCTGTAACTTGACTGGGAAACCAACATTTCGTAATTTTACTGAAAAATGGCATACATAAGAAAGGTTCGTAAGTAAAACAGATTCCTATAGAACACTAGGCACAAATATTGCCAATTTAGTTTTTTCAGTTCTGAAAGGACATTTTTAGATGTTTAGTATGCGTGATGTCCTTACCAGTCAGTAAGATCTCATTCAATCTGACCAATAAATCTCCATACTCCATTTCATATGGTGCAAAAAATTGTTTCTCAGCCCTAATCCTTGATCCAGGGAATAATATTGAGATGCAGACCTTTGATAACAAAAAAGAACAAAGTTCTTGATTACCAAATGGGGTGTGGCACCTTTTGATATCAAGACATCGAATTTAAGCCTCAGATGGTGAATTCACGACTTTACTAACATTTTAATTGCCACTGAGGTCTTATTCAAATGATATAATCGGAAATCCAGCCTTATGAGGGCAAAAACTAGGTTGGCATTGGAAGTTACTTATTAGAATGTTTTCAAAGTCTATAGGTCATTTGCTGTAACCGCCGACCTTACGGAAGTGCTTGACCCTGAGGAAACGGCAACGTCGACTGATAGCCAAATGCAGCGAAATGTAAGCCTTGACTGTTGGTTACAAATTGCATACATTTACTTGGCTGTAGTTTTCCTGGTTCCCAAGCAACGTTAAAATTAGTTCGAATGTCGGAAAGCGACTCGTTTGGGAGATGTATTTGCTTTTTAGGCTCTGCTAGCTTCGTGGTTGATGTCTCGTGAAATTGTGAGAGCGGCAAAAGTAGTGCGCTTTCAGAAAATGTCCAATCATTGCGGTGAATTTTTCCTTCTACACTTTTTAGTTACGCAAGGAAACTAGCAGTTGACAAATACAAATACATTTTATTAAATGGAAAATAGGGTTGATTCTTAAATACACCACCAATAAAAAAAAGATTTGCGCTATACTTGAAGCATCTGATACAATATCTCGGTTGATATGACACTAATATAGCATTTTATTGAAAATAACTGTCACTAGTCACTTGAGAGAGATAATTTTGAGAGAAAGATATATTCTTTATGTCCACTGAATTGCCGTGTAATGTAGCTTGCATATTTTTTATAATAGAGGTATGTTAACGTGTGTTTCTTTGTTAGTATCTGTACATATAGTCTATGAGGAGTTGTGACGGCATTTTGTTGTTTTCCCCATTATTCTCAACAATGGAAGTTAATGAATTGTTGTAGAATTCACCTTATTAACAACCGATATATCTGTTTTTTCGATTTTCTCACAGATTCATGTTTGTTTCTAATTGGGTTGTATTATTTACAAGGTATTGCTGCAGCCATAGCCCCAAATTTTGCGGTCTTGCTCAAATGGAATAATATGTTTTTGTAGCTGAACTAGATGATTTATGAAGTATTTCTTTATTCAATATAGAAATCAGAGGCCGATATTCTTGTTAGATCCATTACTTCAAAAACGCCTTGTGTTTGGTCGATTTTGATTCCCGACGGTAAAAAGTAAAATCGGACCTGGAGCACAATTATAGGAAAGGAGGAATTGAAATAGCTGACTTAGTCACTCCTCTATAGTGGAAAATTTAGATGATAAGAAGACGATGCCAATGTTTCAAATACAAAAGAACACAAAAAACGCTGCTTCTATACTTAATGTTTACAATATCAAGGTATCAAGTAAATGCAAAATCTAAACCCTGTAACTTTGTCGGTAGCCTTTTATTGCCGCGAACGTGTTTCAAAATCTGCGTAAAGTTGTTTTGAATTGGTTTGTATTATGAATTGAATGACGAGCCGCATTTATATCCTGACATTCATTCCATTTTTGGATATGGGCTATCGGTAATTTTGCACGTTCCCAGTTCGCATTGTTTCCATGAATATTTGAAGCAGATTTTAAAGTGAGCTGAACCAACAAAATGGTTCAATTCCGGATATACCGTATGGACTAGACAGTATTATTTTATAGAGTCCAAATTGGTTAGTTATCACAATAATAAAACAGCAGAATGCATGGAAGCAAGTGATAGGGCGTTTCAAACTTCCTGGCGAATTCGGCTTGATTCCACGATCTTTAATGTTGCTTCTAAGACTTTCATGTTGGATTTTGATACATCTCCTTAGCCTTTTATTCTCAGTCTTACAATTGTGAGTTACTAGATTTTCTACTTTATATAGTGCAGTTTCTCTGCACTGATTGAGGGAAGTCAACCGTAAGAATACGTTATCACTCTCACTATTGTTAGCTCAGTCCCACAAAATTCAACTGGATTTTTTGCTGTTATACATTTGGAACTGATGTAAGTTGATATGGTTTTGAAGTAAAATTTCTGAATCCTTTCAAAGTGTATAAAAAAGTACGAACCTGCAAGTTACTATAACATCAAACTTAGAGAGTCGAGCTTATCAGGAGGTATCCAACATCTGGTTATAGATCGACAAATCTTCATCAATAAAGATGGAGTGACATTATTAGCAGTGACTAATGTATGGAAAACTTCAACAGTAAGGCAAGTCTAAACTTCTTAAGGAGGTATCTGACAAC